TCTAACTTTTCTTCCCCACTTTCTTTTTCTCTTCTTTCAAGCTAAGGATTGACTTCTTTATCTTTCACAGTCTTCAGGCAGACTGGAAAACAGTAAAAAAAAAAAAAACGGAACTTCAAAGGCTTTGAAAATATTGTTAACTTGTTTATCAGGTTTCTTTTAATAGGGGATAAATAACAATTCTAACTGAATTTAGGGTAGATTGCAATATAGGTTGTGTAGAATTAAACTTTGGTGAGAGAGACAGGAGTCAAATGTGATGAGGCTTGTGATGCGACAGTAACATGCTGTAATATCTTTGAGCAATGATTTTCTCTGAGTTTGTTTGGGCTGGTTACTGACCTTGACATTCCTTGAATGAACTAACCACTTATTTTCTAAATACACCAGAACATTGTACAATTGTTATAGGAGTTATGGAAGCCACAAGAGGGAGACAAAGACAATATTATATTTACCAGATTGGCAATTTTGCAAAATGGTTTTTTTTTCTTTTTTCTTTTCTTCTTTTTAAATACACAAAGGGAAAAGTCTGTGATTCCTCAGTAAATATATAAGTAGAAGACTATAACATGTATGGAGAGCAAGTTCTCATCCATTAAAGACAGAAAGATTTTAAAAAGCCTGTTGAAGGTAGGAAGAGAAATGGGGACTCAAAAGGATCTAAAGAATCAGAAGAATCCAGGGAATCTAAAGAATCAGAATCTGACAGAATCAGTCAGATATTTGAAACATTATCCATGCAAATGAGCAATCGATTTCAGCAATTACAGAACAAACCAAAAATTGTATGACAAAATGGCTGCAAAATTTCAAAGAAACAGTTACAATACAACAATGGGAAGAACTATGGACTAAAACTATAAAATTTACACCAAGTTATAACTTAAAGGAAAATTGGTACAAAATGTTTTATAGATGGTACACAACTCCATCAATAATATCTAAGACGGACAAATCATACAGCAATAAATGTTGGAAATGCCCAGATACAGAAGGAACATTTTGTCATGGGTGGTAGACATGTAGAAGAACTCAAAAGTATTGTAAAGACATACTTAGTATAATGCAGAACATTTTGGAATTTAAGTCTGAAATGAAACCACAACTGTTCTTATTAGGTATGACCTCAGAAAAAATTAACAAGGAATATTATATTTTAATGAGATATACGCTTATAGAAGCGAGAATAAACTTTGCTCAACACTGGAAGAAAAACACAATCCTGACAATATCTGACTAGGAACTTAAACTTGGAAAATACACGGCGATGGCAAAATTAACAGTATCTACACGCACAGAAGTTTAACTAAATTTAAGCAAGAATGGTTCCCACACATATAACACATCATACAGCATGGTAAATATAAAATATAATTACTTACAGTCTGGCTTTTTAGAGGGCCTGAATGCCAACAAATATTGCAAATTAGCAAATGTATAAAAAATGGGGAGGCAGAAATCAATAGATTTTTTTCTTTTTCTTTTATTCTTATTTTTCCCACCCACCCCCACCCCCATTTTTTAGGTCTTTTAAATTTAGGTATCTTAATTTGCTTCATCTACTTTTTATTTCCTTTTATCAACACATAAACATATATACAAACATTCACACATACACACACATTAAGTAACAATATAATGGATACCTTAATAAGTAAGTTCATTACTGAAACTATTATCAGATAACTAATACTTTGATGTAAATTGCAGTGGTTCTTTTTTTATCTTATGCTTAACTTTGGATGAAAAGTTAAAAAATTTTATGCTTGTAACACTGACATCCTAAATGGCAATTAATACTGATAGAATTTTTACTTTTCTCTTTTTATTCTCAATACTTTAAGCTTTTTAAATAGTAGAATGTTAATCATTTTCAATTATATTATATAAACATTACTTCACTGAAATCTGCATTGTAATAATACAGTGTATCATAATTTACAACATTACAATAAAAAAAGGAAAGAAAAATGTTATTGCTTTCTGCAAAAAGGAGTTTCAGTTATATATGTCATGTTCATTAAGAACAGAAGGTGGTAGGCCTAGACCTATTGGCTGATTTGCAAGGTTTTGCAAAGATTTTTGCCTCCCAATAATTTAACATTAGTTGTAATAAATTATCTTGAACCACCATTTTGCCCTAAATTATATTGCTGGCCAAATGCTCTACCACCAGTCTATAGAGGGAGATACAACAAAGTGTAAGTTGATAGCATCTTATCACAATAAATTTGTGATAAATGTTTTAATAGTAAAAAATACTAGGAAAATGGTGAAAGACCTGGTAGAATCTTGGCAAACTATTTGAAGCAAAAAAAAAATTTTTTTTTTTAGTTGTTATAACATTAAATATGGGAAGAATAATATAAAGAACTCCCTGGAAGTCACAATTTCTCAATTTTTAAAATTTTTAAAAATATAGTAAAATTTGAGAACTTATCTGATGAAAATATAGAAGCAATTTTAGCTAAAACTGATTATGATTCACTCCTTTGATTATGGTTGAGTTCAGATAAGTGATTTTGAATATGAGTAATGGTAAATACCAGGCCTGGACTAATTTCTTGTGGAATGGTATACAACATTTATTGATATACTGTACTTGCTCCTAAAGTCTATCAATTATACAAAAAGATCTATGAAAACAAAATTTTATCTCCTCCATTTAAAGAAGCATATACTACAGTTATAATGAAACCTTGTAAAGATCATACATTGTATGCTAATTACTGGCCTATATATAGATTAGCATAGATATTTAAATTATAACTGCTGTTTCAGCTAATAGCCTTCAGCAAGGCATAGATCAGATAACATTCAGCTGGTAGTAGATTTGATTGATTTGAATAAAAATAAGGAAGACAAAGCTGCAATTCTATTGCTAGATGTAGAAAAGGGCTTTGATAAAGTTTATGGACAAAATATATTTACATTTTCTTAACCAAATTTGGATTTCCTGAGAGTTTATAAAGTGGTTCTAGGTTCTCTATGAGGTTCCCAAATCTAAATTGAAGGTTAATGGGTTTTTTTACCTACTTTTTCACTCAGTAAAGTTGCCCACTTTCCTCTTGATTTTTTATATTTGTTTAGAACCCTTAGCCTGTTCTTTTAGACAAGATTATCATTTCCATGGTTTCTCATATAATTTATTATATGATAAATTGGCATTATATGCTGATAATGTATTAATCATTTCTGAACCTCACACTTCAGTTCTGGCTTTGATGCACCTGATTAACATCTTTGGCTGAACTGAAGGATATTCAATTAGTTGGTCTATGACAGAACTGATTCCATTAGGCAAAGCTTTGTTTAGTCATACATTACAGGATTTTCATGTTCATATAACTTCTAAATTTATTAATTATTTAAGTATTCTTATCTCATATGATATTTCTCAAATAATTACATTAAATATGAACAAAATATATAAAAACATTTCTTTGGAATATTCTTTGGATATCAATCTTACCCTTTGGAGTCATCACTCTTAAAACGAATGTAATTTCATGGATACTTTCCATTTTGTGTAGAATTTATATGGTAAATATTTTTTAAAAAAACTCAATACATTGTTGCATAAATGTCTATGGGTTCTTCAATTCTGAAGATATCTTTGAAAAAGTTGCAATTGTAAATTAAAGGTTCAGGGGTTCTGAACCTGTGTATCTTTTGACTACCCCAAATTTTGGATGCCTTCACTTAGTATAAATTCTCCCTCCTGGGCCCCTTTGGAATATTCATATATAGCATTTTTATTTAATTGGACTGTTTTAGGTTCAAAATATAATTGCTCTGATATGCTTCCTGATAATCCATATATTGTGGTATATGATATCAGGATAACTGTGTTTTAATCCTTTTTCTCATGCTCAGTTGTTGCTAGGGGGTACAGGTAGTCCTCACTTAATGATCGTAATTGGGACCAGTATTTCCATCACTAAGCAATGAAGTTGTAAAGCACAACATCATGTGATCGCGCTGCTTAGCGATGGCAGTTCCATCAGTCCCCAGTTACCATTGTTAAGAGAGAACCTCACGTGATCACAACTGCTGACTTCCTGCCAGCTTTCCCATTGTCTTTGCTTGTGGGAAGCCAGCAGTGAAGATCAGAAATTGTCATAATGTGACTATGGGACTCTGTGATGGTCAGAAATCTGTGCCAGTTGCCGAGTGCCCAGATTGCAATCACGTGACCACAGGGAGCACTGCAATGGCCAGAACTTTGAGGACCAGTCATAGGTATCACTCGTTCAGCGCTGCTGCAAGTTTAAACGGTTGCTGAACAAGTGGTCATTAAACAAGGACCACCTGTAATTCAATCCTTGAAACTGATTAAAAACTGATTAAATGGATAGATGCTGGGATTTTTACTTCAAAATAACTGCAGGTAGTCCTCGCTTAACAACCACAATTGGGACTGGCAACTCTATCACTAAGCAATGTGGTTTAAGTGAGACATCACGTGACCATGTCAGACTTATGACCTCACTTCCACTGCAATCATTAAATGAATCACCCATCACATGACTGCAACTTGCAATTTTATTTATGGTTTCTCCATTGGCTCTGGTTGTTGGAAGCTGGCTGTGAAGTGTGCAAATGGTAACCACATGATTGTGGGATGCTGAAATGGTCGTAAATGCCTGCCAGTTGCAAAGTGCCTGAATGTTGACTATGTGACCACAAGGGATGCTGCGCTGGTCGTAAGTGTGAGAACTTGTCTTAAAGTTACTTTTTCAGCACCATCATAACTTTGAACAGTTGCTAAACAGGGCGGTTGTTAAGCAAGGACTACCTGTACTAATGCTAATGCTGAGTTATCATTTTTAAATAAATGCCCCTTATCACTCTCTGGCAGTACCACATTGTCCCATCAGGAGAAGAGAACAGACACTGTAACTGATAGAGCTGCACCACAATAAATCCCTCTCCAGTAACACAGACACACACTCAGAAACTTAGCAAAAAATTCAAGGACAAGTCTTGGACAGATAAGTAACTTTATTGCAGGTACTAAGCAGCTCTAGTAATGATAAAGAACAGCTTCTAAAGAGTATGAAAGTCTAGCTATATTATATGCATGTCCCAAGGTTTAAATCCTGAGTTGATTCCTCCAGCCGTTTCCTTGAAGGGCTCCCAGGTTATTGGAGTTGTTGATGGCACCTGCCCTGTGTTGGCTGGCCCCAAGCTCTTCATCTCCCTCTTGCCAGCTGCAGTCCTCATAGCTCAATTCTTTAGCCCTGACATTTATACTGTTTGCATATTATTATAGTTGTCACTGCAGTCTCGAAAACAAACAGAATTTATTCAGTGGTCTTGAGATTTCTGGCTTAGTTAACCTTTCTGAACCCTACAAAACAACAACAACAACAAAATGGATCACAAAGATTAATTTTTAATTACTTATTAATATATCTTTGCTGAAATGCAGCAAAAGTGAAATTTAGATGTTCATTTAGTAAGCATTTCACTTAGGTTGGGTTTCTGCACTGCTCTAAACTGAGGTTTGTGTAGCCAGAGTTTATGGAATAAACTTGGTTGAATCTGCAAACCAGCTAAGACATAAACCAGGATTTACAAACCACAGTGGCCTTCTTTACAAATGATGCTAAATCCAATCCAAACAAATCATATTTGGATTGTACAAAATGGGAATTCATTCATATTCTCCCAATATTTCTCAAAGTAGAACAATCTTTTATCTTAAGGGCTGAAGCTAGAACAGGGCAATCTTTTGGTGAGTTTGTCCCCAGGCTTCTCTGCTTGCTCTCTCACTATTGTCAAGGTGGAAGGGACTCGGTTTTAAAATGGAAGCATGTTAAACTTAAATTATAGAACCGTAAACTTCCAATCTGATTTACAGAGTAGTCTGTCATATGAATGGAATGTGTAGATTTATGTGGGGGTTAAGATTTTAGCAGATCTTTGTTTTCTTTGAAGCCATTTTGAAGCAGAAAGGAATCACACGCAGCCTTTGGATGCAGCGATGGGTACTCATCCTTTAGCCACACATGTGGTGGGGTATGCACGAAGGGTATGTGTGTGGGTGTATCAAAAAAGTCAAGGTGGGGGCCACAGCCATGCAATTGAAGCTCCACCCCTTTCCTGTTATGGGTCCCATCTGCCCATGACAGTGGAAGACATTTCTTCACCGTAAGGCCTTGTTCTCAGTATGAGCCTGAAAGTTGCACAGGGTTTCAAAAAGAAACAATAAAAGAACAGAATTACCAGGCATTTTGACTCTTTGAATAAGGGGGATAAAAGCTTCCAGGACACTTCGAATGCGGTACACTAGTGGAAAACAAACAAGAGTTTGCTGTCAGAAAAGCAACCAAGTAGGTAAATAATATATCTCTATTACAGACAATTGCAGTTTGAGTTACTGAACAATTGCTGTTTCAATCATAGTGATATCTTAAATTATGAATATAAGCCAGTTTGTTTTACTATTGTATGAACCAATACAGATGAAACACTGACCAAGGCCAAAATATATTCCTGTTGTTTCTAAGGCTGCGAAGGTCATCAAGCCGATTCCAAGGGAAACTATCCAGTCTGAAGAAAGAAAGAAAGAAAGAAAGAAAGAAAGAAAGAAAGAAAGAAAGAAAGAAAGAAAGAAAGAAAGAAAGATTAAATTTTGCTCCCTCTTTCTCCACATGAAATCAATAGATTTTAATATTAACTTACTGTTGTATTTGTAATAGCAAACTAATAACATTCCAGTGGCGAAACAAACAATGACAAAATGGAAGAATTCATCTGAAAAAAAGAAAGAAAATAATATTCAAGGCTCTAATTTAATGGCTATAATTTCAGATATTCCTATGAAAACAAAGGCCTAATACTGGAACTTGTCTGAGCACATACAGTGTGTGTGCATGTGCGTGTGTATACACACACACACACACATGCATACAAACACATACATATATGCATAATATATTTTCATAATTTAAACAGCAGTCAATAACTTAACTAACTTTATTCAGTGTCAACAAAGAAAATGCTTTCCCATGTACATTAAGCAGAAAAGAACTTGAGTCAGGTGATCAAGATTACACAGTATGGGACTATATTCCGCTGACACATAGGTAGGTAGCCTGAGCTGCAAACATATTAAAAATAGGATATTTGCTGATCAGTTGCTAAATGTTTTCAGTCTAAAAATCTATGATTATTTAGTTAGGGAAAAAGCATCTTTGCATGGATGTGATTTGCACTTTAACTATGATAATGTTGTATATAGGGAAAATACAAGATATCAATTTCTTATTTATTATTTAGCTATGCCACTCTAGGATAGAAATCTAATTATCTGGACTTTAGCCTTGCCTCTTAATGAGAAGATTTTGTGATTTAAGTTTGCAATCAGTTAAATTCTTACCATCTTTCCGAATCCCTGGAATCCACCATCTTGGTTGGTGGGTTGGGTGACAGATACCATTTTCACACACTGTGAGAAATGAAATTTGAATTAAAATGTATAGCTTGACACCCCCCCCCCCAAAAAAAACACTTTTACTTCAATTAAGGCATTGAAGCTGAGAAATATCTGTTTATCCGCAGGTATTGGATAGGAACAAAACAATGTGCTACACATTACAATGAAGATGCTGCCTGGATTTATCAAGTAGGCTCCACTCCCTGGAATTTCTAATACAGGAAGAGGAATTATTGTTAGGAACTATTTTAGAATTTTAGACATCAGTGAAGCAAAGGCAGCAACTGAACCTTTCTACTGGCTTCTATCAATTACTGTACAGACACTTTCTGTTCCTATAAATCAAGAGGATTCACAGAGCTCCCTTGGCTAATTGGGTGAACAGCACTAAGAACAAACTTCTCTATTTCCTATGGCTGCACCTGTGGTCACAGAGAAGGTAAGTTGGAGAATCTGTCCCATCAACTGTTCCTCCAAAAGAGCCAACATTTGAGATACATACAATATTTTTGTTTTTTTGTTTGATGTCCCTTCTGATGGGAAACCATCAGCCACAGGTGCTTAAGCTTTCATATCTTACACAAATAACTAACATATGATACGAAAGAAAAATACATATTGTGCAGAAGAAAACAGAATTTTAAACAGTCATAGTTACCAATTGCAGGTGTTCCTTCTGTCCTTGTATTCTCTGGTAAACAACAAATGTGCATTTTAAAAAGGCATTTCTTTGTTCAAAAAAGGATTCAGTTTTGCATATCATGTTTATTACAGTAGAGTTGCAGAGCAGAAGATGGTAGTTCTCTTAGCTGCCTTGAGCTATTTGAAGTAAGGCCATATGACATTTTTTGCATAAATAAGAAACAAAGAAAGATCTGGAGAGATTGCTGATGGTTTGTAACGGATCACCAAGGATTCCTACTATTGTTAGAGATCACGCTGGAGTTTGTGACCAAATCTTTTGCAGAATATACCCAGCAGAAATAGGTTTTCCATCAATAATCAAGACTCTAATCCTGCAAAGTCTATCTTCTCAAAAATGTACAATAATTTCTTCTTAATAGCTTGAGATCCTACTGGTCAAGAACACTGACAAAATCTGAAAAACGATGTATATTCACCTCATTTAAAATCAGAAGAACTTATTCATATTCTACAAACCTCTTATATAAAAACAGGCTCTCTTGATGATCTTTAAAAAGTATAGGAAAAGAATTTGAAATTGGGTTTTGATGAGTCATTATGGAATAAAACTCCCTTTAAATTTATTTTTGACTAGTCTTCAAGAATCACCTATTAAACAATTCCTATATAGTACTACACCCTCTTATGAATGCATTAATTATTTTTTCTTAGATTCTTTTGGAGGAACTATAATCAAACTGAAATGTATTTCCATCTAGTTATTCATTCTGAATATTGGGTGTGGTATGTGTTTTTCATTATATATTATTTTTATTTTCAGTGGTATTCTGTTTACTGCTTTCTTAAATAAAATAGATTGTTTAATATTCACTGCAACAAAATAATTCCAAATATCATTATATTGGTAACATTAAACAAAAACCTTAGGCTACCTAGAATTCTTGTGTTGGATGGCCATTAGCTTTCTTTAGCTCTGAAACACAAACTTTCTTAAGCTCAGAATCTTTAGTTTTGAAGGTATATATTGTTGGAGCTCAATAATCTAGGCTTTTACTCAAAAAAACTCTTTAGAATCCACAAGTCTGATATGTTTAGAATGTGTGCATGCCAAGATGTGTGGGTTATATAGAAAGTTTTTTCAACCACTAAGATTTGATAATTGTGAAATATAACTTTTCTTGTTCATCAGCGTGTTGTGATTGTAACTCACTGACTCATATAGCAGTATTATCTTTTAAAATATGCAAAAAGCAAAACAAAACCTTGGTTGCAGTAACCACTAGAGCAGTGTTTCTCAACCTTGGCCACTTTAAGAGGTGTGGACTTCAACTCCCAGAATTCCCCACCCAACCCCGCTGGTTGGGGAATTCTGGGA